GACACAGCGAGAGAGGGAACACAAGCAGGGGGAGTGGGAGAGGGAGAAGCAGGCTTCCCGCGGAGCAGGGAGCCCGATGCGGGGCTCGATCCCGGAACCCCGGGATCAGGACCCGAGCCGAAGGCAGGCGCTTAACGACTGAGCCACCCAGGCGCCCCGCATATATGATTTTTTTCAGCGAGCAGAAGCCCAGATTCTGTGGTAGATCTCCACATGAATTTGTAACTCTAGTGATTACTGAGAGAACCACCTTGTTCAGCAATAAGCTGAGGTAACCGGGTTTTCCTCTCATCCTGAACTGGTTCAAGTTTTCTCGCCACAGAAGCCTCGACAAGAATGAGGGACAACAGCAATTACTGCTTCAGGCTGTACAGCTGAGCTAATTTGGTTGTATTCACCAGCTTGTACTGTCACACCATTGCTGGAAGGAACTCTCATAGGACAATCTGCCAAAAGACAGCGATTTTCAAACACTGTGCAAATTATTTATTCATGTTGCAGAAAAATCTCCTAGTACTTCTTTATGATGTGTAATCTCTGGCTTTCTGAATAAAGAACATTTAGAGCATTTTTGAATAGGCAACCCCTCCAGAAACACGCGTTTACATAAAACAATACTCATCTGGATCATACATGCATGAAGGAACTGAATTATCTTAGACTTGAAATTCTAGACATCACAAAGTTTATGTGTTGGCAATACTAGAGATTGCGACAAAAAATAACCATGATAGGTGCTATCAAAAATGCCAGCTCAATGTGAAGGCATTTACAATTCCAGAGACTCCTCTCCTATACTCAGATATACTAGATTTGTATGCAGTACAACACGATACTTTCAAATATTTATAAAAAGTAATGTGAGGGGAGCCTGGGTGGCTCAGTCAGTGAAGCATCCAACTCTTGATTTTGGCTCAGGTCGTGATCTCAGAATCATGGGATCAGGCCTCACGTCAGGCTCCACACTCAGCATGGAGTCTCCTGGTCCCTCCCCCTCTGCTCCTCCCCCTGCTCTCTCTCTCTCTCAAATAAATAAACAAACAAATAAAATCTTTAAAAAGTACTGTGAGTCTATTAAAATAATTTGTAAGAAAAATTACTTTTTTTTTCTTCTATTACTTAACCAAAAGGTAGGCCTAAAATTTGTCCAGGATGTGTGTCCATTTACAGTAACTTACATTTACAGGAATTAACCCAAACAAAGAGGAGAGTTAATTCTACTAAAAACCAGTCACTGAACATAAACATTAAATGTGACATCAATTTAGAAATCAACACAGAAAGTAAAATAACTTAATCCCAGTGTCTGCAAATGTAATGACTAATCAAGGGATGAAACTTCTTCCTAGCACTAACTTCTAGGAGAATTATATGTGTATATTTGTGTGTGTGTGTGTGTGTGTGTGTGTGTGTGTGTGTGTGGCTTCATTTGAACACCAAGTGGAACAGCATGTCCTGTTATACAGGTAACTACTGTTATATTTAAGAACATGGACTTCACAGCCAGCCCCAGCGTCCAGCTCCAGCATTTAATGCTCTGTAACTGCCGGCAAATTACCTAACCCTCCCCCCATTTCCACATCTGAAGAATAGGGATAATAATGGCGCTTACTCATTAAGGGCTATTAAGAAAATGAAATGAGTTAACACATCAAGTGCGTAAGATGGTGCCTAGCATATAGGCAATAGCTTGGCTATTTTGATTGCTACTGAAGGGTCTGGACTTCCAGAACCTTCTTCCATGGTTCAACACCTGGGCTTGCTCCTGCCACAGCCCAAGCTCCAGCTCTTGCCAAAGGCTCTGTTCTCCACCAAAACACCTCTGTTACTTAGAACAGTGCTCTTTGTCAACGTTGTCATCCAGGACAACAGGCAGAATGGGTGCTAAAATCTTGGGGGTATCACTTTTTATCTGTGTAATATGTGCGCAGGGGTCTTCTGATGATCCAAAGAAGTAATACCAAGGGTTGGGCACAGATGCTCTCCATCCGTATAATGGCATCCTTCTACTCTGTGCACAGAGTCCAATGTGACTGAACATTCTACTTTAGAACTGTTTCAAAATAAGGAACATGGAAATCAATTTCCGTCGAGATTTTCAACCTGCTCAAATACGTAACAAGAAAGTGTTCTATTTTTTGTACTAAAATTTTGAGTGTTGTATATTCTAGCTCTTCCTCCATGAAGAGTTCACCTGAATCGATTAAAAATGGGTTCCTTTTGGGGCGCCTGGGTGGCTCAGACGGTTAAGCGTCTGCCTTCAGCTCGGCTCATGGTCCCGGGGTCCTGGGATCGAGCCCCGCGTCCTGCTCCTGGCTCGGCGGGGAGCCTGCTTCTCCCTCTGCCTCTGCCTCTTCCCCTGCTCATGCTCTCTCTCTATCTCTGTGTCTCAAATGAATAGGTAAAATCTTAAAAAAAAAAAAAAAAAATAGGTTCCTTTTCTGTGCCATCTTTAAAAGGAAACAAAATGTAATCGAGTGATGGCATTGGTACTATCCTTCCCCAATTTCCATTACCTTTCATTTGGTTTTAATAACCATTCTTTCCACTGCTATTGTCAACAATGCTATAGAGTATATGCAGTTAGAGTCAAAGCACGTTAAAAGAAACTTAGCAGATTTGTAAGAATTCTATCACCTGTCTAGACAGAGATAGACATGGTCCCTATAAAGTGGAAACCAAACAGCAGGGCAATTTAAAATTATAAACTGAAAATGGAATTTTTAATGCAGAAAAATCTAAGTTGACTTGTACAGTTAGTAGCCACATATTCTGCAAGCTATAGGCCCTGCTATGGCCTGGCCTGTAAATGCCGCCCCACCACAGGTCAGAATGAGTCACAGGACACTGAATCCTAGGACCCATGCTCTCCTTCTCCGGCTCTTGACCTGGGGTAGGAGCTCATGACATTATCATCCTCTTAATTGCCCTTTTAGGTGTGAGATTTTAATTGTGGCACCCAGGACTCAAACAGGTCAGAGAAGAAACACGATGTATTTTTTTCTCACCTGTCCAGAACGAGGTCTGGAGCAAAGATGAGCTTGCCCGGGTGGTCAATGGAGCGCCACATCAGCCCCACCATCAGCACCTCCATCCAGCAGCTCTCCAAGAGGCGCACTTGGTCGTAGAGACTGAGCTCCACAAAGCCTAGGGAAAGCAAGAGGCCGTGAGACATATCCACTCTGCTCCTCAACTCCCTGTTTCTGTGAAAACAGAAGAGCAAGTTTTAACAAGCTATGAAAACACAAGCAATATAGGGAAACACTCAATATTTTAAAGATGCGGTTAAATGCTGACCTAAGGAAGGAAATTTTGAACTCAGAGTACGTAACTCACAATGTCCAGCCTTGGATGCCTTCTAGAGATGACCATATTCCTTTTAAGGTTTGTAAAGGACTATTAACTTGGGCTTACAGCTCCCCAGACAAATGCTAGGGAAGAACAGAAAGCTAACAGATCATTTTTAGTCATATTTTAAAAATTCCTCTGCACTGCTGAGAAAGATAATAGTCGGCTGCCAGCCAGAGGCTGCCTGTCTGGCCCAGTTCACAAGAGGGGCTGGGAGGGGTGGAGGGATGGAAGGGGGGTGCTGGGAGTCCGGGACATGCAGAGAGAACAGCACCAGCCCCCTGCAGAAAGTCAAGGCTTCAAATGAAAGATATCTCCGATTGCTTAAAATTTCAGTGTTAGAATCATTCTTCTGAGTAGGAGCGCTGTCTCTAGGCTCTTCTATCCTGAAAAGCAAATGTAACAATCGAAGCAGGTCCCAATAGCCTGATAACCTAACAGCATGGATTGGTCCAAAAATCAGAAAGAAACAGGTAATCTCTAGGGAGGTGAGCACTTTAAAAGCAAAGCAGAGATCACTGGTGCTTCCTCCACAAACCATGATAAAAAGAGAAGGCAGCGTAATATAAAAACTAACCAAACACATGGCCCAAGAGTGCAGTGGACTCCGGTTACGATCCCAGCTCAGCCCCATCCTAGCTAGTTACTCAGTCTCCTTTTAAGTCGATTATCTTACAGAAAAAATGGGAGTAACAGGGCCTACCCTCTGACAAGGCCCTGCAGGCAGCCTCTCTCAGCATCCTCATTTTACAGATGAGGAGACCACGGCACAGGAAGCACATGAGTGTGAGCAATATAATGCCGACATGCACAAAGGAGAACTGAATGGAGGGAGTCACAAAGGGAAAGATGGCTCAGTCCTTCTCCAAAGTCACACCCTGTCCTAACACTGTATGCGTTCCGATCTCCCTTGCAGTTACAGACAATAAGCCTGCCCACAGGAGATTAGGCTTCTTATATTTGCAGCTATCCAACAAGGTCAAGGCTAGGTGATATTTTACTTTTTCTTTTTTTAATTTTGGAAAATGACTACCTGCCGAGAGAGGAAAGAAAATCACACCTTTAGACGAAGCCTAAATTTTCTGAAAATTTGTTTAAAACACCAGGCTTAATGAAGGACTAATGCAGCTCAAGAATTCAGTTTTGTTATGGCACAAAGAAGCTGCACGGCCTTCAATGATCATTAATTTCACCACCACTCCCCACATGGCGTCCTGAACACCAGTGTTTGGCATACGTGCAGCGCAACAGCTAGAGGAAGACGCCTCAGTATTGTCTCCTATGAAAAGAGCAGAGAAAATAACATGATTCTGGCTAAGGTGAAGATCTAGACTATCAAAACAAAACTAGAAACCAGAAGATCCACAGGAAGCTCAGAAGGAATGGGCCCAAGCCAATGAATGACCCAAGAAATACTATTACACCAGGCCTGGGGTCCCACAGCTCTTCACCCCCAACTCCTCCTCACCCAGCTTCTCAGCAGTTTCCAGGCTTTATACTTCGTCTAAAGCGGTTGCGGCCTCCAGGCCATGGGAACTGTCCCTAGGGGTTTAGAACCTGGAGAGAGACCTCATTCTTAGATGACCGTAAATATGCACATGAAGGAACCCTTTCAGGAGGATGGGTTGCTTGCCATTCTGTGTTAGAATTCTAGATTCACTGTCACAGAAACACCGATTCAAATGATAACGAGGTGGTAATTTTAGCACAATGCAGTATTTCAGGTATATATTACAAACTGGCCTGACCCTAGAATTTCTTGCCTAAATGGTCACTTTGGGCCCACTTCTAGAGTCTGGGTGGGTTTTTTTCTTGGGTCTACCCTCTCAGACCACATCTCAGCATGAGAGGTGTCCAACAGGCTCGTGTGCATAGAAGATGTGGCCACAGAGGATAGGGTGTGGACAAGGCCCTGTGGGATGGTTCTGGGGTGGGAAAAGAAGAGAGGTAGCCATGGAAGGAGTCTCACCAAATACCATTCTTCTTGCACTACCGTGTCCAGTAGAGAACTCAGAAGAGTCCAAGAACTCTAAATTGAAGCCAGACCTTCTAAGACATGCTAAAGGCATACATGTCAAGATAGTAAGAAAGAACATATCTCATTTAAAGATTATAAATCAAGCTGTCAAATTGTTACACAACCAGACATCATTTGTGGACCTCCATTTTGTACTCTTGCCCTATAAATGTTAGGGGCAGGCCTTTCTACCATAAATGAAAAGCTAAGATCCAGAAAGCTCTACCTGGAATTTTCTTGGCCCAGCCAATCATGTGCACCAGCTCCTTGTCGGCCAGCTTGGTCAGGGACATCATCATGGAGGCCTCGGTGAAGGGCGTGCTGGGGCGGCTCACGAGCACGTGGGGCGGCTCCGCCTCCAGTAGCGTGAGCACCAGCTGCTCCGGGCTCAGGGCACTCAGCAGCAGATCCTTCACTCGGGTCACGGGTCCACCATTTTTTGTGGCTTTGCTCAGGCAGTGCAGCTGCTCATCCGAACTTTTCTGCCTTCGCATAGCACGGTACCCACACCTTTCTCTCCGGGAGCCTAAACCAGAGAGATGATAACACAGTACTTCCCCGTGGCTTCCCCAACCCAGCATTCAAGTTCCCTGAGCCTCCAGGGCAAGAGTGAGGTAATGACCTGAGTCTATCCTCACAGTGTATCTGCCAACAGAAGCCCAACTTATTTCCTGGAACCTGTGGGGCAAGTACCAAAGATTATTACATTTGCGTCTATTTTAACAAAATCAAAATATGACTTTTTAGGGACAGTAGCCCAAATGAACTTAGGACTCCATTTCAAGATTACCTATGGATACTAAATCTATTTTCTTTTAAAGAGTGCTGACATACCTCGGTTTCCAAACCACAGAATTAGGAATTTTCTTCAGACAAAACATGGGGAAAAGTTAGGAACCGAACATTGATATTTACAAATAGTTATCAAATAACATACTCTTAAAATATATTCTTAAAATGTTTATGTGCATGTATGTGTGTTTACACACAGACATATGTATTCTTTTTACATATTTGTACAAATAAATACATTTCAGGCAATAATTTTTTTAAAAATCTGAAAAATATAGAAGAGTACAAATTTTGGCATAAATTCTTTTAGTTTTAATGCTTTTTACTTTTCCATATTTCATATGTGAAATTTGGATCACAGTATATATACACTATTTTTAACTTTTTTATTTTTATTAAAAATGTATCATCATACAATTTAAAAATCTATGCAGCATTCTGTTTTATGAAGATAGCATCACTTTATCTAGTGTCCCCTGTCAATGGAAATCTAGGTTAGTCCTAATTTCTTTGCTAGTATTCATAGTACAGTGAAAATGCATCTTTGTACACACATCTAATTCATTCCCTAAAATAAACTCAAGAAGTCAAGTTGCTGAACCAAGGCATATACACACTTAAAATTTTGATACATATTAATAGGTTACCCTCTAAAACTATTTTAAAATTTATAATACAAACAATACTTTAAGGGGCTTCTTATTTTCTCATAACACCATTGGGCAATAAAAGTCATTTCTAATCTTTGCTAATCTGACAAGTGACTAAACAAAATCATTTTACTTTGTATTCTTTTAATTAGTAGCAAGGTTGACTAATATAATTGCCATACTTTGTATTTCTTTTACTTGTATATCGCCTGTTTCTTTCTTTTGCCCTTTTCCTGCCTAATAACCTATAAGGTTTATCTAGTAACTATAGATAACTTTTATTATGTGCCGTATTTGTCTTATTATATATCTTTTAACTTTACTCATGGTATCTATTGTCCTAAGGGAGTTTAGTACACAGTCAAACCTGTCTTTTGTTTCACATCAAGATTATACAAATATTTTCTTGTATCTTCTTTAAGCACTTTTGTGGTTCAAATCTATTTGGAATTTTACGTGTGTTTGTATCATGTCATATTAATATTTCATGTTATGTTCTTCAAATGGATGAATAATTTTCCCAGTAGCATTTATTGCACAAGCTTTTCCCACTGATTTTTATACAATGCCTTGTCATTTAATAAATATATATAAAAGTATCTTCTTGGGGCGCCTGGGTGGCTCAGTCATTAAGCGTCTGCCTTCGGCTCAGGTCAGGATCCCAGGGTCCTGGGATCGAGCCCCACATCGGGCTCCCTGCTCAGCGGGAGGCCTGCTTCTCCCTCTCCCACTCCCCCTGCTTGTGTTCCCTCTCTCGCTGTGTCTCTGTCAAATAAATAAATAAAATCTTAAAAAAAAAAAAAAAGTATCTTCTTCTGGGGGCACCTGGGTGGCTCAGTCAGTTAAGTGTCCAACTCTTGATCTCAGCTCAGGTCTTGATCTCAGGGTGGTGAGTTCAAACTCTGTGTTGAAAAAGTATCTTCTTCTGGATTTTCTCTTCTGTTTCATATATATACATATATATATATACGTGTGTATATGTATATGGAGTGTGTGTGTATACACTTTTTTTTTTTTTTAACTCCTGTGCTGGTATCAATATGTTTTAGTTACTGTAGGTTTATGGGTCAGAAACACAATGGGATAATGTCTTTAAGATGGTGTGGTGAGGGAGAAACCTTTAATTTAGAATTATATTCCCAGCTGAACTATCATTCAAGAGGAGCATAAATTAAAGACATTTGAGTTAAGCAAAGATTAAAAAGATATATCACTCACAGCCCTTTTGAAATAACTACTGTGTTATTTGGAATGAAGAAAAATGAACCCAAGAGAAGCAATGAAATTCAATATGCAATGGCAAGAAAATAAATTGGTAAACATGAGAGGAAACCTAATAAATACAGAATGAATAAAATAATAATTAATTTTTGGAGGTACAGAAATAAAGTAAAACCAAATACTGGATAATAACAAGATGAGAGGTGAATAATTTTGGCTGGAACTTTCGAAGAATCTTTATTTGGAAAGAGAAATATCTATTGGAGAGAGTGGCATGAATTCTCAAATTAATCAAGAATGCATGCTAAAATAGAATTGTCACTAAAAGAATTGAAACAGAATGTATGACTTCCAAACTAGCAGAAGAGGTAAAATAAAACAAGAAAATGGGATCAATTCCAAAAAGGAAAAAAAGAAAATATATGATGAAATTGTTAAAATCCTAAAATAAGATGACAGAAATGAATTCAGATATCAGTGATCACAATAAACATAAATAGACTAAATTTATCAAGAGCAACTCGGAGATCACATTTTTTTAGCTAGACATTGACTAGTTGTAAGGGATACATCTCATACATAGAAAACTGAAAATAAAGGGATAGAAAAAGATTGCAGGCAAAAATTAACCAAATAAATCAGTTACGCTATCAATATCAGACAATATAAACTTTAAAGGGCATAAATCATTATTAAGACCTCATCAGATTATAAAAGGAAGATAAATAATTCTAAACCCATAAACATCAAAACAACAAAACAAGAAAACACAGCCTACAAATATAACAGTAAAAAGTGACTAAAAGAAAAAGATAAATTGACAAATACATTATTATAATGCATTTTTTTAAAGATTTTATTTATTTATTTGATAGAGACATAGCGAGAGAGGGAACACAAGCAGGTGGAGTGGGAGTGGGAGAAGCAGGCTTCCTGCCGAGCAGGGAGCCTGATGTGGGACTCGATCCCAGGACCCTGGGATCATGACCTGAGCCGAAGGCAGATGCTTAACCGACTGAGCCACCCAGGTGCCGCTATAATGCATATTTTAATGTATCTTTCTCAGCAACTGACAGAGCAAACCATTGGGGGAAAAGGCAGAATACAGAACATTGGAATTGTACAATTCACAAGTTTGAGCTATAAAAACTCATGGAATTTGCAAAAATTATCACATACTAGTTTATGAATAAAATTTTAACAAAAATTGGTATCATATAGATCATATTCTTTGATCACAAAAAATAACAAAAATATATAACTTCCAAGGCCTTATAAAGTTTAGCACAAAAATATTTCTAAAGATCCCTTGGTTAAAGACAAAAATACAAAATGAAAATTAGGAAAGACATTAGTCAGGATGTCATTAACATGGGTACAACTTTTGTATGCATCCCCCCCCGCAAAAAAACCTAAAAGTTATATCTGCAAAATGCCTAGTTTCTATAGTCCCACCATTATGTTTGTTCACTAAATTCAGTTGTCCACATTTTAAAAAAGAAATATTAGTTAGGAGGTCTGATTACACTTAAATTACTAGCTCCCAAGAAAATTTATCTGAATTTCTTATCCTTGGCTTATCAAAGTAGAAGGAAGGGCTCTATCTATCTAGAGATAATTGAATCAAACTGCTTACTAAAAGAACTAAAAGCCTAAAATATAATTCACTTTATTAGTAATCAGAGAGCTATAGGTATTATTTAAGATCAGTTATACCCCCAGGGTCAAATGGAACAAAATGTTTGGTTTAAGAAAGCACCTTTCTGATCACACATCTCCTTTTTGTAGAGTATACGAGGAAAAAGAGTTTCCAAAACAGGTTTACATACGAAGAGAGAGGTTTTGAATCCATGCACTCAAACTTATTTGACCAACTTTCACTTACAAAGCCCTATATACTGGGCCCCGTACTGAGTCCTAGGGATTCTAAGATCAGCAACATAAAGCCCTTGGCAGGGAACTCACTGTTTTCTACCAAGGACATTTCTAGTGTCATGGCTTTCCCACTGTAATCTCTGCAGTCACCGGGTGTGCCTCTGAGCAAGCCTGATGAGGAACTCTACCAAACAGGAGCGCTCCATATTAGAAAGTGGAACTCTACCAAACAGGAGCGCTCCATATTAGAAAGTGGTAAATCGCCCCGAGAAAAGGGGATGATGATAATGGGGATGACAATGACAACAACAATGGTCATAATGCTAAGTGACAACAATGAGAGCTAACACCTACTGGGGAAGCTTCTACATGTCAGACACTGTGTATTGTATTTACATTATTTCATTCTGAAAACTGCCGTAGAGGACAGGTGCTCTTATCATCTCCATGATACAGAGGACTGAAAACAGGCTCAAGGGCACTCAAATAACCTGCCCAGGGTAGCAAAGCTAGAAAATAGTGAAGGCTGCATATAAACTCAAGCAGCTGTCTGAATCCACAGCTGGTGCTTTTACTACTTTATACCACCTCCCTATCAAGTCCCTTTCATGTGTATATACAGCAGATGAATCAAGAGATGGCATCTGAAAGATGTGGATTTATTCTCCCAACACAGAGAAACAGACCGAACATGTGGCTATTCCGATTGTTCTCCTGGCTATTTATGTTTCAGCATATCCTTATAATGAAGACTTACCCTCAAGTTAGTCTGGGTGGTTATCTTCCCACCATTTAAACCCCCATATTAATATTTCCATAGAAAAGACAAGATTGGTGCAGAAGAAAAAGGTGATAACAGAAGAGACATGATTTCTTTTTTTCTTTTTTAAAGATTTTATTTATTTATTTGACAGAGAGAGACACAGCGAGAGAGGGACACAAGCAAGGGGAGTGGGAGAGGGAGAAGCAGGCTCCCGGCTGAGCAGGGAGCCCAATGCGGGACTCGATCTCAAGACCCTGGGACCATGACCTGAGCCGAAGGCAGATGCTTAACGACTGAGCCACCCAGGCGCCCCAAGAGACATAATTTCTAAAGCGGGGAGTGAAATGGTGTAGGAGGATCCAGGATGCAGATAGGTTCCTAATCTTCCAAGACTGGAGAGAAGGAAGACGATGGATGGAGGGTTTATTGAGAGGGCAGACAAGGAGAGTGCTGGGAAAGCAGGGAGGCATCATTAAGAAAATTCACTCCTGGGGTGCCTGGGTGGCTCAGTCCTTAAGGGTCTGCCTTCAGCTCAGGTCATGATCCCGGGGTCCTGGGATGGAGCCTCTCATCGGGCTCCCTGCTCGGCGGGAAGCCTGCTTCTCCCTCTCCCACTTCCCCTGCTTGTGTTCCCTCTCTCGCTGTCTCTCTCTCTCT